TGTTAATTGATTTTTTTGTTTTTCTTGAAGAAGACATACTCATAGTTTTAATAACCCAGGACAGACTTTCAACAGCATGGCAAATGACGTACTATCTTGGCACCATGGTAGACAAGTCCTAGACAGAGGACAAATGACTTCAGGAGATGCAAACCACCCTTAACCCCCCACCCCCCAGTTTTCTCAGCTTAAATGGGGAAACTCAGAGTCTCGGGACTAGGAAGGGGAAGAGGCACCAGCAGCTAAGGGGACACACAGGGAAGGGACAGGCCCAGCCTTGAAGGATGAGACATGACTGTGTGCTAGAGGGAAAAGCTCTGCCATCTCCCCTTTGCTCCCAAACAAGCGAGGGCACATGCCATCACATGGGGAACCTCTTTTAGCATTTTTTTCCCTTTCAACTATCCCCAAAGAGATCAGAATAATCTTCTGGAAATCTGGCTTATAAGTAGATTTTCCCTTTGAAAGCAATACCTAAGATGGCTCAGAGGTTAAGAGCACTGGCTGCTCTTCCAAAGGTCCTGAGTTCAATTCCCAGCAACCACATGGTGGCTTATAACCAGCTGTAATGATATCTGGTGTCCTCTTTGGTGTTTAGACATACATGCAGGCAGAACACTGTATAAATAATAAATAAAAATAAATCTTAAAAAAAAACACAATACTTAAGAATTTCTTTGCAAAGGTATTGGCTGCACAAGTAGCACTGAGCAGAGAGACCAGGCTGGTCTCTCTTGGATACTGCTGTTTGAGAACAGGCCTTGCCTAGCCCAATCATTTGGGGCCCTCAAGATCTCCAGCTGAGCCGTGACATCCTTGAAGGCAAGAGAGTCTTATCAGCTAGATGTGGGAATAAAACTCAAAGGTATGTTTTAGATCTAGCGCAGAATTCCACAGAAAACTATCTGTGGGGGCTGGGAAAATGGTTCAGTGGGTAAGGGTGCTTACTGCGGAGACTGAGGACCTGTTTGATCCCCAGGACCCCCATGGTGGAAGGAAGAGAAAGGACTCCTGCAAGATGAACTTTGACCCACACTGGCATGCCATGGTGAGTGCGCCCTCCTATAAATTAATTAAAATGTAATTTTGAAACACACACACTCACATAGGACTTAGAAAATGAAACCAAGGGAAAATGAGTTCAGAAAGACAAGTGGACCATGGGACATTCATGGCCTCTGGCATCTGGGGCTGTGGTGGCCTGGGCTAGCTTACAGTTTGTGGCCCAGGGCTGAGCAGGTTCTATCAAGCACAAAGCCCTCTCTCTCAGTGGGGGAAGCCTGGTATTCTCAGCCCCAACCTGGTCTTACCTGGCAGGTCCTGCTCTGAGTCTTAGCCACAGATTACCTGCAGATCTACAATGTCATAGTTGATAACGATGTTATCATGTGTATTTTAACAGAAATCAAACTATCCCTTCCCTCCCTATGGCCAGCTACCCACACTTCCTCCCGCAGCAGCTAGCCTCCGAATGCTCTGGACAGCCAGAAACAGGCCTTCAGTACCATGTGGCTGTGTGGACGAATTGCAATGCAGGGCTAATGACAGACAGGGCTACTTCTATTCTGCTGCTAAACGTCCCTCTACTTCTAAGCCACTGTATCTACTTTTTCTGGGAGGCGGGACTCGAGACAGGGCTTCGCCGTGTATCTGGTGGTCTATAGCTCCCCTTGTAGCCCAGGGTATCCTAAACGTGCTATTTATTCTTTTGCCTCCACCTCTCAAATACTAGATTACAGGTGTGGGACCATTGTGCCCAGCCTATTATATCTGTTTTCTATCATTTCTCTTTCCTTTGCTACCAGGTAAGAAAGCAACTACTAGCTCAGTTCTACCAACCTTTTTCTATCACCGACTATGAATCAAGGCCCAGACAGACCTCTACACGCTGTATCTACAGGGCCCCACAGACACTTCTTGCTAAAGTTCCTTTCCTAGATGGAGGGAATTTCCTCTCCTCCCACGGGACAAACTAATGCACCCAACGCCACTGAAGCCCACGGCGGGGAACCAACGGGCAATGGGTGAGGGGTCATGGGAGGGAACATGGATGACCTTGAAACAGCCCACAGAAGGTCTGCACCCAGCAGGGATGATCACTTCCCTCACGGCTTCTCAGATGGAGCCTCTCCAGAGTCCTTCCCTGTGAGGATGCTCTAGCCCCTCCCCCAGAACCCAAGGCCAGGCCACGTGAACTTAGGGCAACCCTGTAGACAACTGGGAGGGAGCGGCCACCGGCTACCCAGGTGAGGTCGTCATTACTCTCTCGGTCCTTCTGTCCAAGAGAGAACCAATAGCATCAAGCGCGGCAGAGATGTTCTCAGCCAACAGGCCCAGCTAAGCTCAGAAAGGTGGTGGCGGTTTGGCTGGGAGGATTGTCCTCTAGACTGCTTGTTCAAACTGGGGGTAAATAAACATTGTGGAGCCTTTTAGAAGCTTGGGGTGGGGCTGGGGAGAGAGCTAGTAGGCAAAGTACTCTGCATGTAAGTATAGAGACTCAAGTTTGAATTCCAGAACCCACATAAGATCAGGTACAGCGCATGTCTATAGTCCCAGGGCGCCTAACGCAAGGTTGGAGAGATGGGAGAATTCCTGGAAGCTCAAGGTCCAGCTAGACAGCCAGGTGCACACAGCAGCAAACAGGAGACCCTGTCTCAAACAGGCAAAAGGGAGACTCCCACCAGAGGCCATTCTCTGACCTACACTCTTATGGCACGCACACACGCACACGTCTTCTGTAAGTAAAGTATTTGAACTCTGATGATAGCTTTTAGTTAACAACGTCTTTAATTCCTAGGAAGCCTCTGCTCCCCTCCTTATTATGAACTGGTATTAGAAGTATGTCTGGTTCCTACCTGTGTTCAGGACAGACAGAGTTGCCAGAAAAATGACGTGTTCTGAGACTTCATATGTTCCCTCCCGCTCAGAGGCTTCCTTCACTACTTAAAAACTAGCTTTTGGGGCTAGAGAGATGGCTTGATGGTTAATAGCATTAGCTCGCTCTTCCAGAGGACTTGGGTTTGATTCCTACTCCCAAAAGGTGGCTCAGCACTGTAAGTACAGAGTGACGCCTTCCTCTGGCTTACACAGGCATGGCATACACATGGGTGTACAGACGTAAGAACACGCAGGCAAAATACCCAAACACATAAAGCAAAAATAAATACAAATACACTGAAAAAAGACTGGCTAGCTTTTTCTTTTATCCTTCTCCCTCACTTTTGTTCCCTTCTCGCCCACTGCCTTGGTTTCTCTTTCTCACTTGAGACAGGTTCTTACCACACGGACCAGGGCTTGCTTTGCACTGACTTTGACCCTCTTGTCTCTTGCCCCCTGAGCTGAGATTTCAGGCATGTGGCATTTTTCTAAGCCTAAGACTATTTTTTCAGAGTGTCAGGCCACAGGGTTCCGGGGCAGAAAGGTTCCCGCTGTCCACTTTCCTCCTTGTCCCTGCTCTGCCTTCCTAGGAGGCGTCTCCTAAGCCAGGCCTAGGGAACCGGCTGTGGAGAAGGTGGCTGAAGTCTCGAGGTCTGCAGCAGCCCAGACATGAGGCAAGTACAAGGTATGGGAGGGACCCCGCCCAGGAAGCGCCCGGGGGGAGCTGGGCGTTGCTGCTCCCGCCACTGCTGCCACACCCCGATGTTCTAGTGCACCCTCTGCCTGGACCCTGCCACTGGGTCTGCTGTTTGCCTCAGCTTTCATCTGGGGAAGGTGAGCCCAGGAGTTTGGGGTTGGGACAGAGATACAAGGGATAAAATGGTCAGGGTCTCTGGCTCTCCTGGGCTGCAGGGCTCAAAGTCGGAGCAGCAGCTGGATTCTGGCTGTCAGCTTGAGCAATGGGCATCCTGGGTGAATGAGATGGGCAAGCCAGCTGCCTTCATTGACAGCTCTGGATAGGGCCTACACTCTCTGTGTAAAGATGGAGAAACTGCGGCCCAGACAGGCACAAGGTGTCCTCTCCAGGCAAGGCCCTCTGTGAATTCTGTTTTTTAAGGGAGGAAGGCCACCTATGCTACACTTTGCACGGCCCCGAGCAAAGCTGGCTGGAGAGGAAGGAAGGGTGGCTTACCAACCCTCATCCTCCAGCGGCAGCTCCAGGAAAGAGCCCCGGCTGAGGCAGAGCCACATGGAGGTCTGGAGAGGCCCCCGTGGTGTTGGGGTGTCACCCTCAGGAGAAACGCATTCCAGCTTTAACTGAAAGGTCTCAGCTTGATTCCAAGAGCCATGCTGGGACAGTCAGGGGCGGAGGAATAGAGGGAAAACTGAAGGAAAAGTGGAAAAACAAGAGGGCCAGGCACGCTGCAGCCCGGGCCAAGCCCCTTTACTGCCACGGGCTGGCCAGGTTCCCTCATTTCATGGGATTTGATTTACACCTGTGCTGAATTCGGAACAGCAAGGAGGGAGATTCACAGCCCAGCTGCCTCCTTTCAGGGATCAGAGGTGGTGACAGAGAAGTAACACTGGCTGGGCATCGGGGCTGGACTGTACTGGGCCACCTTCAGGTGCCAAATATTTGTACTCATCTCCATTATATAGACGTAAAAACTGAGGCCCAGAGAGAAACTGTGACCTGCCCGGCCCACACAAAGCTGGGTCCCAGACCAAAGAAAAGTTGGCCTGGTGTGGGGGCTGCCAACCTCTCCCTTGTCATCATTCCCTGTATCCTCAGATCCTCCATCAGACTATCCTGGCAAGCGCTGCTGCTGGGCTGCATGTCCCGAAGGAGAATGAGCCTGTGAGCACAGAGGCCATTTCTCTGGCGGCTGTGGGGGTGATGTCTGTAGAGAAATCATTATCTCAGCCAGGGCCCCTCTTTAGCTTTTCATGTCAGTAGAGACTGTGGCCCAGGCCACCTCCGTGATGATTAAGACCAAAGTCAGGGCACGTTTTTTTATGAGAGAGCTTCCTTCACGGGCTGCACCCCTCTGTCAGCCTCCCAGGTGATTCCTGCGAGCTGGACCTGTTCCACAAGCTCACTGCCCCCAGTCGACTCCACTCACCCAGAAGGCATCTCGGAACTGCAGCTGGGCCATCATCCTCAGGCGGCTGTTGTGTCAAATGCTAGCACTCCTGTCTCTAGCCGGGCTGAACACGGGCCGGGAGCCAGGAGCACGTCCCAGTCCTAGCACGCTGGCCCAGGCCCTCCCTCCCACTCCCAGCCGGCGCCGTCTGCACCGCTCAGAAGGCAGCCACAAGCCAGAGACAACTGCCGGAGGGAGGGGAGAAAAGCTCAACCTGTTTTGTTTGGGACTAGAATCAGCAGCGAAATGAGGAAGGAACCCTGCCCAGCGATGCAAGGGTGGGCCACGATGTCCAGCCCAGGCTCTCCCAGACCCAGTGACGGAGGAGGACGCAGGCCGAGGCCCAGGGCAGGCAGCCCAGGTGGCAGGCTGGGAGAGAGGCAGGATGTGCACAGGCCCGGCAGACAGGCAGGCAGCCTGAGGGCCTGCACAGGAAGGGTTTGTGCAACCTCCCCCAGGGCAGGCGCGGGGCTCTAACCCACAGGAAGTGGAGCTGCGGCATCTTTCCTGCACAGCCCCGCCTGACACCTGCCACGCCGCCGCCCGCTCACGTCCTGGCCCAGTTTAGCCTTAGAACCATCAAGTCAGGTATCCTGAGGCTGTTGCCTGCCTGCCTGCCCCGGGCACCAAGAGGTTAGGCTCTTGGGATCATTCTAACCTTAGCTGTTCACGCCCTGGCCTAGGCCCCACCCTCAAGTTACTGGCAGCTTGGGGCAGACACAGCTGAGGTCCTAAAGCTATGAGAGCACAGACTGGGAGTGAGCAGGTAACCAGCTCAGGGAGCTCAGCCTGATGTGGCATGGCTCCTGGTCCCTGTGCAAATCTAAGACAAGAGGAGTCTGGAGACCCAGGCTTTCCTTTAATCTGGACTTTCCCCTTCAGTCCCCGAAGGACCCTGATTGATCTTCTAACTCAGAGCCTCAGCCTCCCTGTCTGCCACCTCCAGTTTTGGGGAAAGCATTTCGCATCAAGAAGCTTCTGGAATTTCTCTTTGTAGGGCAGGTCCTGGGGAACACTATCTCCAGACAGGGTTTGCCCACTCAGCAGAAAAGGCTTCTGGGAGCCCATGGCGGGCAGGTGAAAAGGATGAGTCAGGGGTTGTCCTCTAATCAGCTAATCACCACCCTCACCGAGGCTTACCTTAGGACTGACTGGGTGGGTTAGGCAGCTGAGCTCCCAGGAGTGGGTTACACATGCCAGGGCTTAGAGAGAGCTACACCCAGGCTTCCCTAAACAACCCCCAAGAAGAAACAGAACGGGCGTGGTGCTGGAAGCCCTTCTCTCTAGAATCCTGGGACTTGCAAGCATTTTTTAAATTTTTTGTTTCTAATTTTTATTTGTGTGTATATGTGTATGTGTAGCTGTGTGTACAGAGGCCTGCAGAGGCCGCCCGAGCTGCTGGAGCTAGAGTTACAGGTGTTAGCTTAGCTGCCTGATGCACATGCTGGGATCGGACTCTGAGCCTTCGGGACACCAGGCACCCGTAACCAGTGAGCCATCCCTTCAGCCCCGGAAAAGCAGCTCTAGCCCCGAAGCACCCAGGGGTTCTGTTACTTGCAGACAGCTCATGGTGTGGTCACCTTGACCTTTGACGGCCCTGTGCAAGGCCGGCAGATTCCCCAGCTCGGTGTCCCCATTTGTAAAACGGGGCGAGACCTGGAGTTTGGAAAGCAGTCCAGAGCCCTCCATTCCCGGGAGCCTTGTTTTAACTGGCAGGAAAAGCCAGAGATGGCTCCTCCTGGTCTCCCCAGGTGCCTTTTTCCGCTCTCTCTCTTCTGTCCAGTGTGCTGGGTCAGTCTGCCCCCCTCTCTAGAGGCACACTTGCCCCTCTAGATCCACACTTTGCTCTTGCACACCCCCTTTCTCTGTCTTGTTTTTCTGAGACAGGGTCTCCTGGGGGCCTTGAATTCCTGGCCTCGGCTGCTACCTGCTGAGTACTGGGTGTGCCAACATGCCTGGCATCCCAGCACTCTCTCTGGACGGCCTCGCTTGGTCTTCATTGCTGGGGCAAGTCCTCCCACCTCCGACCTTCCATGTACAAGGCTTTCCTTCACCCTTTACCTTTTACAGCATCTAGGCCTGGGCAGCCAGAACAGCTAAGAACCAGGGGCACCATTAAGTCCGTCAGTCCTGCTCTGTCCCACACGCATCCTTAAGACGAGAAATCCAGTGATCACCTTGACTCCCTCAAATTCAGAGGGTGAAGAAGCACAGGGCTGGTGAGGTGCCAGGTCTATAGCACAAATGCCCTAAGCCTCTGCGGTTACTGTCACCAACATGCAGTTCTGTCCCACACCTCTGCCCGGGTGAGAGGTGGAAGCCTGAGCTGGAGGAGGCAGCTGGGCTCAGCACGTGGCTGTGTTCACTGCTATGTGTGTCAGCTGGGGAGGCTTTTCACCATACACAGTAGGAATAAGAGTGTGTGACAGGGAGGCGTTACTGCCAGCTACCCCGGGGTCAGGAGGCAGGGCGTCTCAAGCTGCTCTAAGGCTCTGGCTTGTTCTCTGCTCTTCCAATGATGGCCTCCCTCCTCACCAGCTGTGTCACCCCAGTCTACAGCTCCAGATGCATCACATCCAAGGAGGAAAGGGGAAGCCGGGCTGTCTTCTCCAAAGTCCTGCCCCTCAGCCTCCCGGGAGATCCCCCCTGCTGGCTCACTGCCTAAGAGTAGATCACACTTCAGCATCAGCACCATGAGAACAGACCCCTTGGAGCTGTTAGAGAGGCTGGGGAGAGTCACGGTGACCATGGGACCTTCTCAGCTGAGAGCCACAAAGAATGCTGCCTCCCATCTCCTGTCAGGCCCAGCTGGGACAGGTCTGCCAGGAGGGCAGCAGATCTGGTTTCTCCCCTGAGGGAATTACAGACTGTAAGACAACTTCCAGAAAGATCCCTCCTTATGGGGCAGAAGCAGAAGACCTCGCTGTGACAGGGAGGTGGGAAGTGAACAGAGAGGGGGTTTTCAGTAACAGTAAGGCCTGGATGAGGGCCTCCCAGGGAGGGTGAGTGAAGCTGTAGGATATAGAGACAGAGGAGAGAAACAGGACAGAGATGTGTGAGAAGCCTCCAGAGGATGGTACTTAACAAGATCGCCTCCCTCACCAGCCATCGCCCACACCAACCCAGTCCTTAGGGAGGGGCACCTGGGCCTGAAAATCACAGCTTCTTAATGACTGTTTCTGAGGCTTCAAAACATAATTTGCCTTGAGGTTTAGACAGCTGCTCCCCAGGCCACACTGTGAGGGAGAACCCCACCCAAGCTAGCCCAGACTGTTTGACATAACATTTTGAACATACATGTTTGAAGAATGCAAGAGGTCGTAGGCCCAAGGACTGAAAATAAGTTGCAAGTCAGTGGTTACAGCACTGGTTGTCACAGCCAGCCATCAGGCGAAATTCAGCTCTCGAAGCCGCTTTGTCTGTCCTTTTAAGCCATGCAAGCAACAAAAGCAAAGCCAATGCAGACATTTGGGGATGCTTAATACCTACGGAGTTTTAACTTACTATTTTAAGTTGCACTCCCTTGGGTATGGATATCTGTGGAACAAGCACTGAAATCTATCAAGTTCTGTTTTGTTTTGTTTTTTGTTTTTTGTTTTTCTGCCAGGTACCAGATTGGCCTGTGTTCTGCCGGGGACAGGGAGGTTGAGCCAGGCATCTTCATGATCTGATTCCCAGTCCCCGACAGACAGGCACTCACCAAGGGTGTTGCAGACAGGCTACAATGCACTAGGTACCTGGAACAGAAGTATATCTGCCAAATATGCCACTTGTCAGCCTGGGTCGGGGACACCTGCAGAGCCCCACCCTGAGATGCTATTGAGTATACTCCTAACCCTGACTCTCCAGAAACCTGCAGCTGGGTCTCTGCTGCAGGCAGACCAGGCAGGCAGGAGCAGGGAGAGAGGGGCAGAGGAGCAGCTCAAGGGAAGCAGGGGGAGGCTACCACACACGAAGCGTCACCGTCACACCAGACTGCTCCTGAAAAATCGCACAAAGATCAGCAAAGTGGCTCGGCTGGTACAGACATGTGCCACCAAGCCAGATAACCCAAGCTCAGTCCCCAAGCCCCAATGGTAGAAGGAGCGAACCTTCTATCATACATCATCCTTTGACTTGTACATGTGTTCTGTGGCATCTGCCCACACTTTCATAGCCCCACTCCACACATACATACACATATATGATTAACGCACCTATAACATATATGTTATATATGTATGTATGTATAGATAGATAGACAGACAGATAGCTAGATAGATAAATTCAAGACAGGGTTTCTGTCTGTAACATCCCTGGCTGTCTTGAAACTCACTCTGGAGACCAAGCTAGCCTTGAACTCACAAAGATCCACCCACCTCTGCCTTCCAAGTGTAGGATTAAAAGCATGTATCACCATGCCCGGCAATAATATACGTTATTTGGAATTTCAAGACATCAACATGAGAGCATCAGACCCTGGTCAAGCTCATTTCTGAGTGCCAGGGCTCTGTGCAGCTGTGTTTGTGCACACGTGAAGCTATTGCTGCTCATGGCTGTCTGCTCTCCACAGAGCAGAGTGATATGACGCCTTCAGACTCAAATCTGGCTACCTTCTAGCTATTATTTTTCTGTGTTGATGGATCTTGTTCTTAGGTCAATGGTCATTGTAGTTAAAGCCTACGGACCCTGATTGACCTAACCTCAGCCTACTTTCCAAAACTGTCCTCACACTGGACTTTTTTTTATTATGTTATCGTGCTTCATTTTCTTTTTTAGATATCTTTTCCCAACATCTCTCCCTTGCTTGGGAGGTTCTTCTTGCCCCATCTTCGCCTTGACTTTGACCCACATAACTGCCTCTCTTCAATTGTCACCTCCTCCGGAAAGCCAAGAGATGGACTGGATAGACAAAATCAGGCAGGACTGATGTTGACTTACGTCAGTGTGAAGGAGTTCAGAGGACTTCTCAGGGGCAAGAAGGGCTATCACCATGGAAACAACCCTCACTGGTGGGGCTGATGCCAGGCTAGAGGGAGGGTCTGCAGCAAGAGCTTGGAACCTTGAAGAGGGGAGGAGACTGGAGAGAAGGAGACTCTGAAAACTCCATAGCGACATCCAGGGAGCAAGGAGGGCCTTGATCTTAGTTTCGCTTGGTAATGGCATTCATTTCATCTTCTTTAGTGCTTATATGCTGCTTTGATAATGCAGCTCTTGGAGGGAGAGGAACCTCTGTTCTGGTGGAGCATCCTCAAATGCCAGTAGGCTGTGGCCAGCAGGGCA